ATTGTGGGAAAATTATATTACCAGTCCTTCATCACCCATTATGCATGTAACATGGGAAAGTGGTGTCTGGCCTTGGAATTCACATCTGGTCTGAGATCCACTGGCACTCGTGACTGTCTAGTGGACGGGAATTGCAACCGCGATACTCACGATCGGGTATCGAGTCTCGCTGGGGGTGCTGATCAGATCCAGACTAAACCGAGACTGCAGACCATTCTGGATAAGATAGGCCTTTAGTAGGCAATGCTAAGTGGAATTGACTGGCATAGAGAAGACTACTCTTTCCTGTGCATGGAAATCTACACTATCAGACCAGTATCCATGCTAGTATGAGTTTACCTTCAAACCCAAGCATTTCTATTCTGAATCCGATTTAGGGTTCAAATAAGACTAATGCTGACCTTGCAGAAGGTAATCCGCATGTATATGAGATGCAATCACCCTATTTCCGTTAAGGTGATGAAGGTCTGGTAGTAGAATTTTCCCGCAATGATATGAGTAGAGCTGATGCTTCCATTGAATTGCAAATAGCCTTGCTCTGCCAAAAAGTATTGTTATCCAGGGTGGATTGCAGTTTCGACCTCGTCCAGGTCTTATCAACACCCCCTGCGGGACTCGAACCATGACAGTGCAGTGTGTAATCTCGACACGCTACCCATTACGCCGCATTGCCACGAATGCCCTAGGGTCACAGAGAACATGTAAATTCCACGGAAGATCGAACATTTTTATATATCATTTTCTTTGGTGGGATTGTCGATGAAGCAAAATTGTATTTGCCATAGCACTCAATAACGTTACTTACTTTTCGTTTATGGGGAGTCTTTCCAAATCAAGCTATGCTTAGCACCTATCGACAAATGGTTGGTCTTGTCAACATCCCTTGAGAGTAGCATCTATTCCACCCTTTATGTAGAGTTACTTATTTTAAATAAGACTTTGGACATAAAATAAAATAATTGCTATACGAAAAGTAAGATGTACAATTGTTGAGCTCAATTCCATTTTAGTTATAATTGTGGGATGAAATGATTTGAAGGTCTATCCCACCAGAAGACGGCAGTGGCACACAAGACTATACAACATACAGATTTCTAGTCTAGCATATGGTATAAGCTAGGCAACTCACTCTACATTTCATACAATCGTTTCGGCTCCGTTGATGTACGTCAGACGAAAG